TTTGATGTAATAAAATTAGGTGTCAATGGATAGGGAAGAAAATTAAAATTCTAATATAAAATTGAATAATTAAATTAAGGGGTTGGCCAAATGGTTGGGAATGTGTGGTTCTGAGGAACCCACCACATAGTTGATAGTAGTTGGGAACTTGAGAACTTTTTCTTCTTTTGGGACATTAAAGAACATTAAAATTAATAAACTTTATCATAAAATTCAAATGTCCATAATTGTGGCGAAATTTCGGGTAGTTTACTTCCAAATTGCACCAACAACTTGGTGTTTATGGTATGAAAAGACTTGGACGGTTTGGGACAATTTTTTAAAGGCATAAAACAAATTCAGGTTTGAATTGGGGAAAAAATCGATATTGATATTGTTCCTTCTAAATTGAATCGATCACTCGACTCGAATTGACCCTAACAAAACGATTGAGATCGTAAAAATCCATCCAAACTACATTAAATCAATGACTTTTTATTTGTATTCTTTAGAAAAACTAAACCAAACAACGAATATACTTGAAACCAACCAGATTGACTATTTTTGGTTTTAGTTCAACAATATTGAAGCGGTGATTTGAATATCTAATGTTAAGGACAAATGGTAAAATTAATTTTAAGCTATGAAAAGATAAATTTTATCATATTCTAAAGGAGTGTTAGAATATCAAATCAGAATTATTATTCTATTAACAATTACTCACTGTCGCTGTCAACTTGAGCAGTTCAATTAAGTCCAATCAAAAGATTGTGGGTTCGAATTCTCACCTCCATGCTATTAAAAAAGAAAGAAGAAGGAGAAGAAGGAGGTATTTAGTATTATTTTCATTTAACTTGGCCATTTATTGTCGTTGGTTGTAAGCTTGATTCTTCAAGTGGTTGTGATTAGTTTTGTGATTTCTCATTCAATTTTGTGCGACTTCAAATTGAGAGTTTGAGATTTAAGCAAAATCAACTTGTTGCTTTCAATTACTTTCTCTTTCTTGGAAGTTTACTAAGGGGAGACTTTTAAACTTTAAGTATCTCTCGAACAAGAGAATCTGAAACTAAGATGAATATTTTAACCCAACCAAATTATATATACATGTTCATTGTTCCTCTTCAAATCTACTTTTTAAACATTAATCTTTTAGCTTCCTAATCTTGACTAGGAGAGACATTAACTTTCTTTTTTTTTATATATTTTATATCGATGAAATTTCTCTCTAAGAAAAATCTCAGGCTTGTTCTAAAAAAAATTAAAAAAAAATCTCAAAATAACACCTTACGTTCTCAATTTGTTTTTTTAATTAAAAAAATTATGGAGTAAAGATTTGAACATCTCTAACTTTAAGAGAAGTTAAGCTCGGAAAAGAGGAAGAGATAGCAAAGTGTTTCCATTTTCTCCTTTTTAATAAATAGAAATAGAGTTATATTAGATAATTCTTTCGTTCTTTCTAGAAAACGAAAACATGCTTAATAATTTCTTTTCGTCCTCCAAAATTTTAAATTTAAAAAAGAATTAGTTTTATATTTATTTTTTTAATATTTATTGTGCCTTTATAAGAAAATGTTGAAAAAATAATACTTTAATTTATATTTTGAAAAAAAAACTAGAAAATGAAAAAAAAAATTAATTTTATTGTTTTAAAATTATAACACAATTTTGAAAACAATTCTTAAAAATAAGGAATTTAAAACCTGAATACTTACCGAACGTTTATGTTTCTAAAAACAGAAAACGTGAAACAAAAAAAAAAGATATCAAGAACGTTACAAAGCAAACCCTAAGAAAATAACTTGAACCTGTAAGAGAAACAAAGTAGCAAAATTTTTAAATGTTGTATCTGTGTATTGGTTGTTGCATACATATACAATACAAGGCATTCAAATCCCAAAACAAGAGAAAACAATTCACGACAGGTAAAATCATATCAGACATTTAAACATCTTATATCAAAAAAAAATATACTAACATTTCTCAGCTCTGTTTTACTTTTACAAAGTAATCTTTTCAAAACTCCAAAAATTCAGATTGAACTTGTAGAAAATCTACAAGCAAAAGAACTTATTTTCTTTTGGCTGCTCCCTCCCTCTCTCTCTCTCTCTCTTCTTGGGGTATTAAAACCACCATTTGGAGGAAAATAATAACTAAATTAACTGGTTATAGAATACTACTACAGTCTACCAGCAGAAAAGCTAAATAAATGTAATTGGTGTCCCAACACCTAAAGTATTATACTCACTTTTTCTTGTTCTTCATCTTTTTCCTTCCTTTCACTTCTTTTTCCAAACTTCTAAGCCTCTGACTGATAACTGATGATGAAGATATTTTTCGGTCTTGCACCGGTGACGGTTCAGCGGTTAATGAAGTGGTGGCTGGTTGATTGGCTTCCGTTGCCTGTTTCATAGCTGTAAGAAATGAGAAGGCAGGCTGAGGAGTGGTATTCGAATTTTCTGCTGGCACTTCTGGAACACCCAAGGCCTTCTTTACCCCAGGAACTTTGAGAACTGAAAATATCATACATATCTTTCAGTCTCGCCACAGGAAAAAGAGAATGGAGCATTAAGTTTATCGAACTTGGTGAATTTTCATACGCTTCAAAATCACGACAAAGGAATGTGCATGCTATAACAGTAAAACTATAGAAATCTTTTAATCAAAGGACAACAGTAAAAGATAGATGGTGATGATTAGGAGCTCATAGGACTGACCTGCTCCATATCCAAGCGAAAACAAGTTAGATGTAACCCAGTAACAGAATATTGCCTGCATATAATTACCAGAGTAAGTGATTTTAGTAAAGTTGAGGCATACTCAGGAAGCTAGGCCCCAAATGCCACTATCCAATTTTCCAGGTATTGTGAAGCTTGTAAGGAAAAGAAAGATCTTGTAAGAAAAATTCCCAAGCACACTCATATACATGATGCAACATTAAATGACTTTGTATAAATGTTAGATACTCAGTCTCTAATCATATTATAATGAAATTTATTAACACAGATTTTATTGAAATAAACAATAAATATGTACATGTTAATTACACCATCAACATCACTTTAGATCCTGTAATAGAGTTAATTGGTAATATCTTCGGAAATAAATACTTGAAAAAGACTTTATAAAATGTGAAGCAAAAAACAAAACTGCAGGATAACTGCTTGTCTGCCACGAACCACTTTGCATTATATTAACATGGCTACTAGAAAAATGCAAACGTTAAAAGCAGTAACTAAGTTGAGAGCCAACATGAGATAAACAATGCTTGATGTCCGGTGCTTTCATTCATTCCAGAAGGAAACAAATACAGTAATTGTCCAGTTAAATTCATGTGCAACTAAGTATAGCAAATACCTTTGGAAAACTCATGGTCAAGGGAACGGTAGCAATAGCAAGACCCCTCATCACATTTTTCATTGTGCCAGCTATAGGATTTCCTTCCATACCTTCTTGCATATTGTACTGAGAAAAAGAATAGAGTCAGAATGTTTGAGATTAGTTGTGTAAAATACTACTAAAAAAAGAGAGAGAGAGATACAGTCAAGCGAATTGATCTTCATAGGCAATGTAGGTCAAGATAAAAGAAAAGTAATTCTAAATGACTCTGATTAAGTGATAAGTACTTTCGTTTCAGTTTCAGCAAATTTAGCTTGGTTCATGGTTATCAGCAGTCACAGCATGCAACACACACCGAATAGACAAATGTTTGGCACATTCTACCTAGGTTTACTCCATGGAGTTTTGGATTTTTTACTGGTTCAAGATGCTCACTAACTACAAGTACCAGGTAAAAGAAAAGAAACAAAATGATATTGAGCATATTGAAGAAATCCATGTAGTCTAATCCATAATAAGCCATAACTGCTGCTTTGGGAAAGTAGACAAACAAAAATTTACCACCAGATGTCTACCTCCACTGTGATCCAGAATGTCAGTGCTGTTAAAACTGGAAAAATATACATTGTATCTGGAGTCGTGAGATCGACAAACCAGTATGCTCCACCATTTTTAAATGAAGGCATTTTCTCTGCCATGTTTGAGACCTGCGAAAGAAAATTGTAATTGAGAAAAATAGAAGTTGTACCTAAATGCTTGATCATTAACCATTTATAAGTAAAGAAATACTCATTACCGCAAGGAAAAAACTGACGAAGACAGGACCCTGAATAAAAAGTCCCTTCAATGGGGTAAATGGGCTCACACCAAACCTGCAAGGTCAAACTCATGAAACTGAAGACAACCAAAAAAAGTACTTCGAAACATCCAGAGTGGTCAAAGAGAAAAAACAAAAGTTAAAAAAAGATAGACATGGATAATGTAAACTAACTTCAATTTCAAGAAAACAAATGCTAACAGAACCTTTTCAAAAGAAATGACTTTATGTTGAGCAAAAAGCTATAAATTAATTTTCATCATCTATGAACTTGTTGTCATTAATGTAAATAATGATTTCACAAGCTATAAAACTGCAGGCATTATGCTCTATAGAAAACAAAGAATGAATGCCATTGTTTATATTTCTAAAATTTTAAAAAATAATAATAATAACAATAATAATATCTTTCTGACGAGTTTGAGGTGGTGTACATTTAGAAAATAAATATTAATATTTGTCTCTATTCAAGAAACTTAAACCACGGCCCAATCAAGAAAAGTGACTATTACAATTCCTTTCTTTCCAGTTCCCACCCCATTTATATGTCCAATCTTTCCAAAATCCTCCTGAACGTCTCTATCTTTTGTTCGCAGGGAGGATTAATCACTTTTGACATTTTTTTTTTCATCATAAACATCTGTGTATATTATGATAAAAAGAACAGCCTATTGGTCGGGGGAACTTTTGACTTCCAATTTCCAAGGTCATATTAATCGTGAGATAGAGGAGTTAGCTTCTCTCTAGTCTTTACTTCAGCTGACTTTCTTTCTCTTGGTTGTAGAGACTGTCGCTAATGGGCCCTCTAATCATTTGGATCCTCCTCTTGCAAATCCTTGTTTCTTAATTTGGCTTCATCTCCAGTCCTTGTCCACATTGTTCTTTATTTAATTCTTTCTGGAATCCAAAATCTCAAATAACATCTGATATTTTGCATGGCAAGTATCCCTAGTAAGGATTATAACATAGACAATTTGCAGAAAGCCTCCTCCCTCGTTTCAGTCCCAAATTGATGCATTTTGTGTGGGAGTAAATCATGTCCCTTCTCCACATTGTTCTTTATTTTATTCTTTCTGAAACCCAAAATTTCGAAGTACGTCTGATCTTTTGCATGGCATTGGCAAATATCCCTAGGAAGGATTAATAACATAGACAACTAGCAGAAAGCCTCCTATTTCGTTTTAGTCCCAAGTTGATGCATTTTGTGTAGGAGTAACATGTTTCATAGTTGTGCTCTTTTAACTACTGGAGTGTGGAGTTGTCTGTGGCAGAGTTTTTTGGCTTGATCTGAGATGTTGGAGGAAGTTGTTCTGGAACCCTTGTCAAAGGGAAAAGCCCAATCCTCTAGCAGGTTGATTATGATTGGAAAGGAACCATAGAACATTTTGGTGGGTAGATCTTAGATGTTTGGAGTTTGGCACATTTAAATGCTTTTCTTAAGGCTTTCAATTCAAACTTATTTTGTAATTATCCTTTGTTTTTTATTACCAAAAGTTGGATTTCATTTTTGCAAGTTTTTTATCTTTCCCCTCTTTGGCTTGGCCCTTTCTTTTTGTGGGCCCTTCTTAGCTCTTTGTTCTTTCAGAAAAAAATGAAACAACCAGTGCGTGCAAAAAAAAAACAGTATGGAAAAGAGGGCTTACTCATTGAAAAGTTTTTTCATTTGTTGTTGACCTTCAGCCACGGCCCTAGGATCCATCCCCTGAGGAAAAGGAAACAGGGAGAAAAACTATGTAACTCTGGTAAAGTTCTTTAAATAATGACCAAAGTGATACATGAAATACAGTTGCCTTTACATTGAAGAAAAATTGTGATATGATAACTACATCCACGGTAAATGAACCCATAGATGACACTTGATAAAGTAATGGATCAAATTTTCAAATTTCAACAAGAGCTTTATTACGCTAGCAAAAACTGGCCAAAATGGCCAAAAATAAACAGAGTTAAAAGGGGCTTTATCTTTTTTTTTTTAAGAAACAATTTTGTTGATGAGATGAAATTCATCCCCATCCAATGGAGTTGCAAAATATGTCTCCAATTGGATAAAAGATTATAAAAGTTATAATGATGAAACATGGGGAAGTATTTATACAAAGATATAAGAAGTATCAATATATCTTCAAAAAATTCTGTTAAAGGGGGGTTTTATCACTAATACAATTTGGAAATTAATGGTTTGGCAGCATCAAAGCAACTAACCTGTGTACAGAGGATTAAAAAAATTCAGAACTACTTATGTATTATACAGCAGCCAAGATGATAGCATCAATTGGGGAGTCGCCCCCCCCCCCCCGGAAAAAAACCAAAAGACCATACTACAAAACTATGATGACTATTAATATACAAAAGACCAAAATTTTAAATGCAGTATGCAGAAGATGGTTAGTACGCAATTATTTCTTCAAGTTACCAGTTACCACTATAAAATATCTATAAATACAAGAACTGGACACAATACCTTTTCTTGCATCTGTTTCTTAACATCCTCCAAGTGAGGCCTTAACATCTACACAACAAATGAGACTTGATTAAATCTTCCATCAAAGGCACCAATATCCAACTAAAAGTTGCAAATATTTCACAATAGTAAAAATATCAACATATAAGCTGCACCATATTAAAACTGATAACATGATAAAAAAATGCAGAACAATTGTCACTGATGCACTTGACTCCTTGTTAATTCTTACTCACATGGCGATAGTGTAACAAAAGCCTGAACAAAGATTAAATGAGCTTGAAGTTTAAAAGAGATGACATCAATACCACAAATTAAATACATCACAGAGGACAGCACGTGCAACAACAAGAGGGTGAAACCTTTCTCTATGCAGGTCGAAAACGAAAGTGGGACTAGATTGTAAGAATGTATCCACATACATGTTTTTCCTATTCCTTTTCCATCAGATAATTGATGGCAAAAAAGTCACTGAAGACCAATAACTATAGTATGATTAAATGAACAAGAGCCAGAAAATATTAAGTCCATCGTGCCAAATCAATGAGACAAATAAACAGATAGTGCTGGGTTCCTATTTGCAGCTAACTTAACTCCTTTCTTGCTCTAACCAATTCACCAGACACAAAGTGGCAATATATAAGACAAGCAAAAAGGATGTATATCTTACTTTTTTTTCTATACCCAAGATATTCAGGGCTCCATTCCTAGCAATAAGTTCATGGCACACCTAAATTTCTAGGAAGGTTCTGCCCACCCCAGACCAACTCTGGAAGACAACAAAATTTTAAGTTACTCAGTTTTCAACCTAAGGGGCTTGAACCAAGATTTTTTTAGGGTATCTCCAAACATCCAAAAAACCCAGATGTATATCTCTTAGAGAGAAATAGAATCTCATGGAAAATATTGCTTACAACAGCAATATTTTAGGTCAAGGCAATATCAATTATTTATTTAAAGACTGCTCCTCGATTGCAGAGTGTGAGCTAAGGCTGGATTAAATATTTTTCTAAGGTTCAAGGCACTGGGTGGAAAGCTCAAAAAAATAAATTCCTTGATGTTACCTTGAAGCAGTCAATAAGTCATGTTTTGTGTTCACTCATGGAACGGATCATGTAAGCATCGTGGAATTCACCACTGCATTTGTCTAAAAGACTAAAAAATAAAGTGCATCTGAAATGCAGAACCAAAAACTGACACATACAGTAAGCTTTGCAGTAGACTTGAGTTGATTTATCAAAAGTGGGAATGTTGCACCACGAATCAGTATGGTTGTTAATACAATGCAAGCCCACCTGATGGATTCAAAAAGTCAGATCCTGCGTGAATTGTTAGTTACAAAAATTTCATGGCACGATATATGACAACGAAATCCAAGTGTGAAAAAATGGGGGTCCTCACCAATTTAAACCAGTAAAAGAATGCATAGAATCTATAAAGTACTGCAAACCCTTGACAGGAAGAAAAGAATCAGCAGCAGCAATGGCTACTTCATTAGCTACAGCAGCCTGAGATACTGCCGATTGAACTGTTGTATCTGTGAGAACTTCTGCAACATCACTCATGAATTCAATTTTTTCAGACCCTCCACCTATAGTACTTGACATGTAGCGGCAGAAAAAGGAACCAGCACTTGACGAGAAGAAAGTGTTTGGATATCTTCTATCATGAGCAAAAAAATTAGACCTGGATGACTTGTTAAAGCTGGTTCCAAATGATCTCCTCTGAAGGAAATTATTGATTTTTTCAGGGGAAACTGAATCTCCATCCAAATGTTGATCTTTACGGTCATCAGTATGATGAAGAAAAATGCTAAATGATGGATGACACCGCCGAGCTACAAGATCTGCTCTTGTGCAAAGGCTGCGCCTGTAAGCCATTGATATCGTCTAACGAGAACAAGTAATCATATCAAAAATTATTCGAGTTAAAAATGGAACAATAAAAAGTTTTTTAAATTTTAAAGCCATATTAAATGACATGCCAATAGATTCGGACATGATAAGAATAGACACCATATCTAACCCCACATGCTTCATAAAGTTTTCTATTACATTCTTTTTTAAATGAGTATGAATTAAAGGGTATAGTCCATATTTTGTCCCAACTCCCAGATTGTTGCGGGGGGCAGACCAGAGTGTTCTATGAAAATTTTTCTTATCACCCAAATCGTGCATTGCCCTAACTCTTTTGTGCACTTAAATAACATCCATCAGCCGTTAAATCGTATAGCCACCCTTTTACCGGTATTTCCAGCTACTTAATGAACTGTCCTTCCCCAAACTGCACGTTGGTTGCAAATATCAATAACCGACAAGCAAATACGTTCTTATTTTCAAAATCTTCATTAAATATGCGAAAATAGCTCGAAATTGATAAGTAAGACAACACATAAGGGGCGAGGAAAACCTAACATCTTATTCATTACCGCCAAATTGAATCCTTCTTCTTTTACACGAGAAGCCTTTTTACGAGGCAAATTGAGGTTACCTGCCTAGAGTGCAGTCATGTAATTGATTAATTTTCTCAGATTGCTCGCTTTGCTTTTCAACTGCAAGTGATATATTTACTTTGATTTGGGTGTTGCTTTAGCAAGACAGTGAAGAAAGTAAACAGCGAAAAGAAAACAACATTTTTAGCGGTTCGAATTAGGTAAATCTGCTTGGAACACATCTCGATGACGAACACTAATCAGATTAGGAGCTGGTTAAGGAGATGAAAAAGCAACACAGATGAGTACCTGAGTGTAAACTCGCCGGCGATCGCAAGAATGGAGGCGAGAAGGGAGGAGGCCGGAAGGACAGTGCCGGAAATCGAAGCCTGGCGCTTACAAACGAGGGGTTTTGGGTTTAGAAGACACGAAACGTTGAGTTCGATTTTTTATTTTTTATTTTTTATTTTTTCCCCTTAATTTACTAATTTGATGTTTTTAATTTTGATTGATAGTTTCTTTTAGGCTATGTATTAGCCTTTGGATTTTTCTTTTTTCTTTTTTTAATTTAGTCTCTTCTGTTTAAGAAAATTGTAGGACTGTTTAATTTAGTCGATCATCATTAGTGAATATTAAAATGGACTAAAAATAAAGTTATCATCAATTTGTGAAAATTTAAATAATAATAAAAATGCTATCTAAGAGAATAAAACTCAAAAATGTTTCTAATTTCTTTAAAATTTAGAGGATAAATTATAAATTTTTGTCTCTGGAATGATACCTGACATCTTCTAATTTGTTATCAATCCATTAAGTATTATATTTGGTAAGTTTATTATCAACTAATTTTAAATAATTAGAACTAAATTTGAAAAAGATAATTATACACAAAAAAAATACTAAAATATATATTTAGCCTAAATTTTAAATGATAACTCTAATATTGTCTTTGTTTATTAATGCCTTTGCGCCAAAATGGGCAATTGTTGGTTTTTTTTTTTTTCAAGTTAGTGGGACGGAGATCTAACTTTTGGCATTTGAGGTAGTAATAAATGACTTAACTACTGAATTGTGCTATACAATTTGTTAGAATCCATATAAATGAATTAAATTTACCCAACCCATTAGTTTAAGCTTTTGGGTTGAGTGGTGGTTTATTCATTCTTAAGATGGTATCAGAGCGGGAGGTCCTGTGTTCGAAAAACTTTTGGGTTGAGTGGTGGGTTGAGTGGTGGTTTATTTGGAACTTTAATTAGTTGAGGTTAAACAAGTATTAGCTGATTTGATAGATTTGATACACCACGGTAGAAGTGCAAGCCAAAACCAAAAACTTACTAAAAACCAAGATCAATTACAACACTGATCTTGACAAAAAGCCAATTCGAATCAAACTGTTTAGAATCCTAGACGTGTGAGATATATGGATAGCTGAACACATCAAGAAGTTAGATTTCACGTCGTTGAATGAAATCCCTATCCAAACTAATTTGGAATTTGGATTAAAAATACGAGACTATCAAAATTATAATATGATACATGTGTATATTGACATTTTTAAATCAAAATATAAATTCATTAGGTTTGGGAAATATAGGCAATTGTGAATATTAAATAACGTTAGATATTGTAACAATTTTATAAATATAGGTACAACGGCAACTCCATGCTTAATGTAATGTTCCATAATAAGAAAATTTTATATATGTATAATTGTAATGCAACATTCTCACGTTTAGGTTCGTGACTATTTAATATTTTATCATCATACCTTATATTACTTTTTGAATATAATTTAATTTTTTTAGTATAAAATATAGAGGTGAGGATTCAAACTCACAATTTTTTTATCGGAGATAGATACCTTAATCAATTAAATTATGCATAAGTTAGCAAAGATATAATAACTTAGTTGAAGGATAATGGATACATTTTTCAGATTTTGACTAATAAAATTCTTATAATGGCAAGATTTAGTTGTAATTATTTTATAAGTTTGATTAAAAGATAATTGTTTAAATAGAATGTTGAAAGAGTATATATAAATATACTTTTTTGAAGATATATATTATATATTCCTCTTTTTCTTATTTTGAGAAAAGAAAATACAAGAAAAATAGGAAATTAAAACATGGGAGTTATTGAAAACCAAAAAGCCAAGAAGGCAAGGTTCTCACCCAGATCTTTGAGTTTCTTGGAAGAAAGTTTGTATCTTGCTAGTTCCTAGATAACTAAGCTTAGTTAACTAAACTTAAGTTTCTATGTTTCTTAATGTGACGTAAACTTTTTATTTGGATAGTTAAATCAAAGTTATGAATTTGAAGATATTCACTTTCATAAGGTATACTTCTTTATTGTTTAGGGTTTGGGTAACCTCCAGATTATCGGTCTCCACAAATAAATCGATGTTCAATATCACAGCCCACCTATTGGATGACTTCGTTGATCGCATCGTTATATTTTTACTATAGTTTTATACCAAACATTATAATAGGTCAAACCATGTTTACATAACCAACGGCATCCATATTCACGTCTAAAATATAGAAATACGAATAAAACTTCTAATATTTGGAATTAATCTTATTAATCATTCTATCACAATTCTTATAAAACTCAACCTATAAAAAGAAAAACTGAAAAGGAACTTTTGTTTTGCAATCATTTTTGTGTGTTTTTTAGATAATGAAACTCAAGAAAAACACAACATTCTCAAAGTTATGCTAAGATTTAAAGCATTACAAATCATTCGATATATACAAATGTGAGAGTCATACTTAAAACCTTCCGGAGTCATGGAGAGACAATGAAGTCACCGACGGTGATGACCTCGAGACAGATGAAGAAGAAGGTGTGGTGGCAGCGGGGGATTCGTCTGGCGAGTTTCGGCACACCGGACATGTGGCATGTAATTTAAGCCACTCATCCACACAGTTGGCATGGAAATAGTGGTCGCAATCCGGTATGGTCCGGATGGTTTCCTTCGACTGATACTCTGACAAGCATATGGCGCACGTGTTGTCATTGGGCTTCGGCAGCCGTCGGCTCTCACCCAACTGCGTCTTGGGGAACGATTCGATGGTCGGCCCATCAAGGCCTGCTACGACGGAAGTTGGCTCGTGGCCCATTGAGTAGGAGAGGTTTATCATTCGCTGATTGGACCGAGTGAAGACCTTGAATTTCCCGCATATGCAACAGCCCAGCCCAATTAATAAAAGGAGGCTTGGGATCCCCACGCCAATGATTAACCCGTACTTGGCACCCCTCGAAATCCCTATAAACCACAAGGAATTGGTCTAACGAGCTCCTTTAACAAAAATTGAAAACGTTGACGTTTAGTTTAAAAAATATTCCGCATATTTTAATTTTAAATATTCTTCATCCATTTTATAAATAAGAAATTATATCAATTTATGATTATGCCTGTGAAAATCTGAAAAAACAACACAAGGATTAAGAAATAAAAGCACATTTTACATTTGTTTCAAAATCTACAAATAATATTAAAAAAATTATGAAAAACAATAAACTTTTTATGTTTTTTTTTAATTAACATACAGAACTGCTTCAAAGACTATTTATTTTTCAAAACTATTTTTTCCTTCAAATTTTTGTTTTGCAAAATCTTTTAGTTTTTTTTTCCAAAAAAAAAAAGGCTACTGGAGGAATTACTGTTATTATCCTCTTAAATTTTTTAATTTGTTAGAATTTGTGGAGGTGGACACAAGTTTCTTCGTCTTGTGAACAAACCAGCCTTCCGCACTCTTTTTAGTTGACTTCTTCCATGGTTGACTCTGCAATTTCCGATTCACGGCTCCGCCGGGGGAAAATCTCGACTATTGAACTTCGCAAATATTCTTGCCGGAAAAGAAATTCGGATGGGATACAGAGAGTGAATAAACAAATTTACATACCGCTCTTCGGAAGATTGAAACACTCGATTTCTGCACTCGAATTGCTTCTGAATCCGCAATCTCCGCCGCGCGACTCACAGTTTCCGCAGTCCGGCTCACTCCACTTCAGCACCATTCCTTCTTCAATCGCCATCCCTGACGACGGAAGCTTCTTCGCCGCAATCACCTGATCACAATCGCACAGACGAAAACAAACATCATCGATTTCAAATCCAAACACGACGGCGATTTCGTTTCAATCGCAATGTTCAAATTTCTATATATTTCTGTTTTCATACGTTACACGGCGCCGGCAGGAAAGCGGAAACCATCGCGTAGTCTCTGTCCGGCACGGTGATTACAGAGTAGTTTTCGCCGCTCATACATTTGATCTTCCGGACGCGATCGAACGGCAGCGTTTCGACGTCATAGGAGCAATTGAGGACGGTGAAGTTTTCGGATCTGTAGAAGGACATAAACGGCGAGTCCTGCAGATTGAAAGACTCCGCCAGGAGTCGTCTCGGAAAGCATTGATCCGGATCGTTGATCCACAACGTCTGAAGTCTGTAATCGATCCTCTCCACCGCGAGGTCTCCGGCGATCGGAAGATTTAGAATCGTCTTGTTCCGATTGTTGCAGGAAAGGTCGAAATCCGGCTGGTAACCACATCGAGGATCCTGCGAATTCTTCAGTCGGAACGGGAATCGAACGGGCGGCGAGCTGCCTCCGCCGCAGTAGGTGCTTCTGCAGAGAAACTGCGATTCGGCCCCGTTAGGGAAGAAGAAAGCTAAGAGGAAGACGACGGCGAGGCAGAATTTGGAGGCAGCCATTTTTGAGCTCCGATCGTAGAGATCACGGAGAGCTGATAGAGCATGAGAATTGAGAGTCTCTGGTTTCGTCTTTCTGTTCGCAGTTGGCTGTTCATTGAATTTCAATTTATGTAATAAATAAATTAATTAAAAAAAATCGGGGGTATATTTGTAATTTCAAGAAACTTTGTCTAACTGTTGATTTGTCTTAAATCAAAGACGTTTTTTTTTAAGAAGAATCAAAGTAATCAAAGAGGATTATTATATAAACATTTAAATGGCGCATGTTATAAGGTGCCTTCTAAATTAATATATGGTTTTTGTTTTTTTATACCAATATAGTATTTTTATTTACTATAAATTGATCATAATATTTGAATTTATATTTTTGTTGGAATTCGTATTTTATATTACCATTCTTTGGTCTTCGGTAATGAAAAATATAATTTCAATGATATGGATAAAAAATATATCTAATTGAGAATTTATTTTTTATTTTTTAGTACAAGATATTCGAAGCCATAAACTTCTGATTAGACGGGTGCTAATTATGGTTAAGTTAAGTTCATGTCGGTGTATATTTAATTTAGTTGAATGTAATACTGGACATAAAATGCATATTGGTTTATGCCTCTTCTCTCCCTTTTAATTGGTTAAATCAACATAATTAAATTTAATCTATATCTAAAAAGAACAAAGAATCTTACATTGATTATTTTTTTCTTTTCTTAATTTGTATTATTTTCTTTAAAAATCAAAACTATTATTTATAACATATATGAACAATATGAACAATAGCGTTAATTTTTACGCATCATTCAATTACAAATTAAAAAACAACAGAAAATATTTCAAAATCATTTATTATATATAAATAAATGATGAAGGATGAAGCAAAGAAAGTCAAAATGATAGTAGGTTCGAGTCAATGTCAAGGGCGTGTTGAAAAATGTGTTGCAGTCAAACAATCACTTCTAAAATAAACAAAAATAAGTAGAATTTAATTATTACTGTTCAACCAAAAATTCCAAACACCAACAGGATTGTACATATTTTAAAAGGATGTCTTAATCAAAAATAGTAATTAACAATTTGGTTAAGAAGTGTCATTAAGTGAAATTTCAAACTATAATTTTGCATTTGGCGGCCAACCTTTTTTGTTTATTGTTTTTTTTAATCATCTTGCATTATGATATTTTAATATTGTTTTATGTTGGTTTTTATTTTAAAACCATTGGCAAGATATTTTTGTTATTACGTTTTTATGTATATTAATTCAAATATATAACACACTAACATTATCATGCTTTCAATAATATTTAGGTTAAATTAACGATGAGAATTGAACTCAAAACTTCTTGATTGAAGATATACTAATTATCGTTGAGTTATGCTCGTTTTGACAATCTAGTTTATATAGTTGAACTTAATTTCAATTTGATTTTTATCATTTAATTTGGTCAATATAATTTTAAAAGATTAAAACAACAAAAATCCTCTCTTTTTTTGCCTTAAAAATTATGGTAAACATTTTATTGAAAAAAAAACTATTTTTTTAAAATATAAATTTCAACATCTCCCTCTCTATTAGTTATATTTCCAATAATTTGTGTCCCCACTCTCTTTCCACTCCACTTTCAAGTTTGAACTATGAATTTTATTATTGAAAGGAAAATAGAAACTAAAATCGTTTAGGTATTTTTCCAACTTTCTAGCTATTTTATTATTATAATACTTGACCAAAACAAAGGAACAATCTGTTCCAAATACTTCTAGATGCTGTATATTAATTTATTATTAATTTCAATCAAGTTAATATAAGTTGTTCAGCAAAATGACGATTATGTTCTTATTATATATTTTCGTCGTTAGGTAGTCATGCGAATTATTTTAATATAATACTAAATACATAGTTAGCATAAAGATAATATCTTAATTTATAAAGATTATGAAGCTGTGTCTTGGTCAATTATGCCAAGTATTATCTCAATGAGTAAGTTTGACTATATTTTTTTTCTTCACCAATTCATAATTCAAAGAAAATTGAAAATCAATGCGATATTGACTTTTCTTTTAAAAGTTGAAAGGATCATCAATAAAAAAAAAAAAATATTAAACTCAATTGAAGTGACATTAGATGACTATTAATTGGCTTAAATGCTGTGAAACTAAACCAATTGATATATTGCTCAAACTATTTTGGTACGTGGCTTGCTACATCTTTTAATTGCCACCAGCTTTTGGTGGAATCTGATTGTTTACCCGCCGCTGTTAAGTTGGTGAATGGAGAAATTTCTAACTTTTGAAGACGAATTAAACGGGTTATCTACATAAATCCATCTCTAATTTCACCTCCATTTCGTTCCACCAACTTCTCAGAACTTGAATATGCCAGCTCAATCTTTAGCTTAATTTTGCTTAACTAATTTAGCTTATTCTTTTTGGTGCTCTAATTTCCCCTTTTCTTTTGGAAGTTTCTTAGGTTTTTTACCCCTCGAATGTAGCCCACGTTTCATGTTTCTTTAATAATATTTTCCCTTTCTAAAAAAAAAAAAACTGTTTTGGCTTGATTTCTATATTTTTTGTAAATATTGTGGGTTCACCCCAATAATGAGTCTCATATTGTAAAAAAAAAATTAAAAATAACAGTTCAATCAAATGAAAAGGAAAGTAAAATACAGAGTAATCCATAATTACTATCTTTCATATTAATTATAGCTAAGTTTAATATGAATTACGTAAATCCACATATTAAAAAAAGCACAAAAAGAGGTAAAAAAAACGACTTAGTTACTATTATCAATTTTATTGGTATTAAATAAATTGAAAAGAAATATATTTGTAATTATCTTATGAACCAATATTTAATTTGTAGTTAAAAATTATTTATACCAATAATTAAAAAGGAGACCTATGAAAAATAATGGGCTCGCTCTGATTTGCGAAGAAGAGAGCTGGTCTGGCATAGTGTAAGCCCAATAAAAAGGGCAGGGGAGGTCCATCAAGCGAAATATTGGGCCGAGCATATATTAAGGCCCATTTTGACCCATGAATGTTGATTGGGCCCAAACCCAGCTGAGAATCCCACTCCATCCCTTGCGTCCATTTTTGGTTGCAGTCTATACTACATGTTAAAATTCTCACATTGCCATTAATATTTTGTCAACGTGATAAATAAAATAATGGTGTTATGTACTGAATTTAATATTTGTGCTAAGACTGGATTTTTCGAGTCCCTAGACTTCAAAATATTTTAATTACATAATCGAACTTTGAATTGTGATCCCATGTAGTTTATGTTTTAAACTAAACGATGACGTGACATGTCTATTAAATAAACGTTAGTTTTTTTTTAATATAACATATGGGGGTGGAGGATCGGACTCACAACCTCTTGGTTTGAGATATATGTCAATTGTGATTCTCTAAGTTATGCTCGTTTTGGCATTAAATAAACGTTGGTTGATTCGACATAACAAATGAAAAAATAAAATGAATAGTTTGGCACAATAGCGTTGGAGTGATGCATGCAATTATAAGTATAAGTTATGAACTAGGTGGGGATTCGATTCGTGACTTGTTTAATAAACAAAGTAACCCATCACTCTCTAACTTCATAAAAAGAACAAAGCGTCGTCTTCTTGTTTTTATCTCTCCTTATTCGAGAATTTATAAATTAGCTTCTCGTTCATATTATTCAAAGAAGAAGTCACGTGATTACAACTTTAAAGATTCACCAATCATATCCAACGGAGTACAAAGACACCTGATTTCATTCTGACCTCAATACGTGGAAATCGTCTTACATACCATACATATTGAGATTATTCGGAGAGACGAGGTCCAAGCCTCGTGTAGTTTTGAATGGGTTAGAAGAAGAAGAATAAGAGCAAAGGAAAGAAAAGAAAGATATATAGGTTAGATATTGACAGATATGCATTTTAAATAGAGAAATAGAGCAAATCTTAGGTTTTGACTCCAAAGTGTGAACTACAATATTTTTCAAACATTCTCTAAAGGAGAGCTGGCCAAGGCAGTGTATTAGGTAACGTCTCCGGGAGAAATCTTGGTCATTTCCATGTGTTCCAGCAACAATTTTAACAATTTAATTAAGAGCTATTATAAAATAATGATGATAATAATAATAAAGTTTTAACACTATATTTCTATAAGTTTTTGTTTTAATGAAACTATGTCGTTTTCCTACCTAAAACCAATTGACTGTCGGATACTGGTCTTGTGTTATGTAGAAATGGAATCCAAACCAGGCAAAAATAGTTACTTTTGTTGGATTCCATGTTCATTTTAGTGTTACAAATTGAAAAATAAATGTTTAAACTATCGTTTATAATAATTGACTAAGATTAAATTTAGGTTTAACTATTATTTTGATAATTTTGGCCTTAGTTAATTTTAGTGTACTTTTAAAACGTTTATTTTGGTGTATGTACTTTAAACTTTTATTCATTTTAGTCATTCTACTTTTAAAACATCGGTTTTGATTTCTTTACTTTAAAAAAATGACTTATTTAGTCTATATTTGTAAAATTTTAACATAAATTTTATATCTAATTAAATCCTTTAATACAAATTTATAGATATATTTTAAAGAAATTTACTGAATGAAATATCAATATGATTGAAATAAATTAGATAAAAATAACAATAAATGAATCAAAAGGATCACTTTACCAAAATAAATATTTTGAAATTTGAAAATATAAATTAAATTTACATTTTAATAGTTAAAAATTAAAATAAATAAAAATAAAAGTACATAGATCAAAATAGTATTTAAAACTTAGATTTATCGGTAACAATGTAATATTATTAACAATCTCAACCAAATAAGATGAACTTTGGCCAATGAGAGAGAACATGGAGACAATAAATTTAAGGGTGAGAGAGACTAGACACAAGAATCAAGGTATAAGTGTAGCAAGATAAGACAAGACTTGTATGTAAAATTATCGCTAAAATTATAAAGTGTGAACATCAATTTAGAATATTGATTAAGTGTCTTGTTAATTTTTTAGAAATCGCTTGAAAAAAATTATTCAACTCAAAATTAAGAGGAAAAAAGGTAGGA